TAACTGAAGTTGCAGGGGATGTAGGTGTATTTGTGTGTTATGGGAACTGCTGTTTTCTCCCACTCAGTTAGACACAAATTACAATTTAATAACCATTAAAAAACTTTTCACTCTTGCTGGTCCCGAGTGTCCTTGCCGTTGCTGCAAAGCTGAACGTGTTATTAAGCACCAGGAATCTGTGATAGTGCGCTGTCTCTTTAAATATCCAAAATAGTCAAGCTGCTTTTTAAACTTTCAAAATAGTGGCACCCTCCAGACTGGTAAAAGTCCACAGTTCACACTACCTTTCTCTTTACCTTCTCCATTTGTTCCTCAGCCGCCATGCACAATGCTGCTTGTAGTCCCTGGCTAGTGGGGTGGTTTTTAGGTTAATTCTTAGATCCTACCACCACTCGGGATTCTCCAAGTTCTCTGTGCCATCAGGATCGCTCAGGATCACTGCCAGACCACAGCTCCATATGTCTCCTTTTTTTGTATTTTCATGCAAATTCTTCTGGTAGTTGGGGTTTAGTCCACTTCTGTATCTTTCCCTTCAAGGCTCAGTGGTTCAAGATTATCTTCTGTGTTTCTGTTAATTGGTTCCTTTTTCTTTGTTGAAGAAGGTCTGTGCAGTCTTTCTGCCTAGTCTGCCATCTTGCCAGAACTGTAGAAGTGGGTTTTTTTGAAAAAATTAATAAAAGTGACAAACCACTGTCAAATTTAACAAAGGAAAAGAAAGAGAGAATACAAATAACACAAATTAGGAACAATGGGTGACATCACAAACTGAAATAAAAATTATAATATCAGAATACTATGAAGAACTATACTCTAATAAATTTGATAATCTGGAAGAAATAGACAGATTTCTAGAAACACTCCATGTACCTAAACTAACACAGACTGATGTGGAAACATTGAACAGATTCATAAGAAAAGAAGAAATTGAGCAAGTCATAGAAAAATTACCAAAAAAAAAGGTCCTGTGTCAGATGGTTTCACCAGAGAATTCTACCAAACATTCAATGAGGAACTCAGACCATTCCTACTCAAATAATTCCTAAACATAGTAAAGAATGGAAATCTCCATAATTCATTTTATGAAGCAAGCATGACCTTGGTAACAAAACCAGGAAAAGACATCAATCAAAAAGAAAACTACAGACCAATATCCCTCATGAATATAGATGCAAAAATCTTCAGCAAAATCCTCGCCATTATACTGCAACAGCATATCAAGAAAATAATTCACTATGACCAAGTGGGTTTCATTTATGTCAGGTGTGCAAGGATGGTTCAACATTAGAAAAACAATCGACATCATCCACCACATAAATAAAACAAAGGAAAAGAACTACATGTTCATATCTGTCGTATCAACCACATGATCATATCAATCCAGAGAAGGCATTTGAGAAAATCCAACACCCATTCCTGATGAAAACTGCTAGCAAAATAGGAATAGACTGGACATTCCTCAAAATAATAAAGGGCATATATGCAAAACTAACAGCCAACATTATTCTCAATGGAGAGAGACTGAAACCATTCCCCTTGTGAACAGGACCATACAAAGATGCACTCTGTCACCACTTCTGTTCAACATTGTATTGGAATTCCTAGCCAGGACAGTAGGCAAGAAAGAGAAATCAAAGTCATCCAAATTGGTAAAGAAATCATACTATCCTTATTTCCTGATGATATGAACCTATAAATAGAAAACACAAAAGAATCAGTAAAAAATCTACTGGAACTAATTGAGAGATTCAGCATAGTGGCAGAATACAAGATCAACATCCAAAAATTAGTTGGATTGCTCTACACCAGCATAGAGATTGGTGAAAAAGAAATAAGGAAATCTATACCATTTACAATGGCTAAATAAATAAATAAATAAAATTTTTCACAATGAATCTTACCAGGGACACAAAAACCTGTGCAAACAAAACTATAAAAGACCACTTCAAGAAACCATAAGAGATCTACATAAATGGAAGAACATACCATGCTCGTGGATAGGAAGATTGAATATTGTGAAAATGTGAAAGGTACCAAAATAATCTATACATTCAATGCAATTCCAATCCAGATCCCATCAACATTCTCTAAGGATATGGAAAAATTAGTCAATAAATAGGAGGTCTTACACTGCCAGATCTGAAAATGTACTATACAGCCACAGCAGTGAGAGCTGCCTCATACTGGTACAATGATAGAAACACAGACTAGTGGAATAGAGTTGAAAACCCAGAAATAGATTCCTCAGCCTATAGTCAGCTTATCTGTGACAAAGGGCCAAAATGCATTAATGGGGAAGTGGTTTTCTGTTTAACAAGTGGTAGTGGTAAAAGAGGATATCCATTTACAGAAAAATGAAACAATATCTTTACCTCACACCATACACAAAAACTAAATCCAGAGGGATTAAGGCTTAAATGTGAAACGTAAAACTATGAAGTTCTTCAAGGAAAAACTAGACGCAAATGTAGGGGCCCTCATTTATGGCACAAATAGACTGTCAAGCATAACTCAAAATGCACAAACACCAGAAGGTAAACTTGATGAATGGGACCTTCTAAATATTAAATTTTTGTATGCTTCCAAAGACTTCTGCAAAAGAATCAAAAGAGAACCTACAGATTGGGAAAAGATATTTGCTAATGACATATCTGTCAAGGAACTTATCTCTAGAATTTATAGAAAACTCCAACACCTCAACAACAAAAAGACAAAGAATTCCATTAAAAAAATGGGCAGAAGACATGAATAGACACTTCACCAAAGAGGATATCCAGGTTGCTAACAAACACATGAAGAAATGCTTATGATCATTCTCCATCAGCAATGCAAATCTAAACGACAATAAGATACCAACTCACCCCAGCACCAATAGCAAAGTTCAACAAGATGGAAAATGACAAATGCTGTCAAGGATGTGGAGAGATTGGGACTCTTGTACACTGCTGTCAGGACTGTCAAATGATACAACTGTAGAAAACAGTATGGCATTCCTTAAACAGTTGGAATTAGAAATACCATTTGACTCAGCAATTCCATTACTAGGTATATATCCTAAAGAAGTGAGAGCCAAGATAAGAATAGATATGTGCACACCCATGTTCATCACAGCTATTTACAATAGCCAAAAGATGGAAACAACCTAGATGTCCATTAACTGAAGAATGGATAACCAAACTATGGCACGTACACACAGTGAAATACTATGCAACCCTAAAGTATAACGTATAGTCTGCAAATCACTTCATAACATGGATGAACATGGAGGACATTATGCTAAGTGAAAGAAGTCAATCACAGAAGGACAAATATTGTCAAGGAAAGATTTATATATAGAAAGCAATTTTTTCTTTTTTATAGGGGGTGGGAGGGGTGGGGAGGGAACCCTGTTAGATAGGTAGAGACAAATATTGATTTGGGTGAAGAGAAGGGCAATGTACCAAATGTGAATGATCAACACGGTGACAGTGAGGAAGAGGAAGACATAGAGAGGTGCATAAGATGTACAGACAACACAGAAGAATTCTTTCTCAGATACAGTACTGTGTTGTCAGTGAAGGCAAATGTTGATATATGGGTGGATAGATGGTTGGACTGGCTGAACGATCAGGTGTTTCTATGCAGGGGGAAGTGTGCTTATGACCATGTACAGGGTTGGCAGACAATGTTTCTTCAAGTGTAATTGTATATTCTGTAAGAATTCTCAGGTATATAGTAGAGCTGACAAGGAACAAGGTTGTAGTCACTTCTTGGGCACAGCCAGCTACCCAGAGAGAGTGAGTAGTTGGACCTGTGGGCTTAGGACCATAATTACAAGGGACATTAAGCTCAATTGGCATAACATACTACACAAAAACATTGTTCCATATCCTACTTTGGCAAGTAGCAACTGGGATCTTAAAAGCTTGCAAGTGGCCATCTAGATGCAACGATGTGTCTCTCCTCATCCAGAGCAAAGAAGAATGAAGAAAACCAATGACCCATGGAAACAATTAGTCCAAGTAGCTGGTACACCATGCGATCCTCAGCCTATATAACTATGAGACCAGAAGAACTAGATGGTATCTGGCTACCACTGTCAACCACCTGGAGGGTGATCTATGTAGGAGATCCTGTATAGAGTGGGAGTACAATGTGGAATAAACTTCAAAATCATTAAAAAAAAAAAAAAGAGAGAGAGAGAGAGACTTGGTTTGCTGGTCTGTTAGAGCCTGGTGTAACCCCGGAGCTCTGGTAGCATAGTGGCTAAGACACTTGACTGCTAACCAGATGGCTGGCGGTTCAAACCCACCAGCCACTCCTGGGAAGGAAGGTGGGGCAATCTACTTCCGTAGTGATACTGCCTCGGAAACCCAAGGAGGGGTCGCTATGAGTCGGGTCTGACTCAACGGCACATAACAACAACAACAACAACAATCATACAATAATCAATTTGGGTTCAAAACTTTTTAAAAAAATTATTAGCAGTATAGATAAAAGGTTCTGGTGAAAGAGTGCCTAAGGCATTTGACTGCTAACCATAAAGTTGGCAGTTCAAACCCAGCAGCCACTATGGAGAAGGAAGGTGGTGCAATTGATTTCCATAAAGATTTACTACCTTGGAAACCCAGGGAGTTGCTATGAATTGGAATTGGTTTGGCGGCAGTGGGATGAGGAATGACTACAAATAAGACAGCCCTCCTATATATATGTGTTTTCAGTGGTCTGACTTAGTAGGTTCTTTGTGCTCATGTTACTTTCAGAAAACAATGTTCCTCAAGGGTACTTCCCTCCAACATTTTATTAGGTAAATGTGCCTAGTTAAGTTGAAAATATACAGTAAATACTATGAATTTTCAAAGCTCATAAATAAGTAAGTTATGAACGCTTCCACTATTGACCTATCACATATCTGTCCATCTGTCCGTCTGGTTGTTAGTCCATTTTATTTCACAGTGCCTTGGTACACTTCCCTCAGATGCTTCAGCCTGATGCCAAGTTTAATTGTCCTCCCTTTGTTTCAGGCTATCTGCGAGCCTGGTGCCCTGAGGCTTTTGGGAATCTTCAGGAGCTCAGCAGCCCCTTCTTTGGCACACCCAAGAGCCAAGCCCAGGTTATCTGGGAAGAGCTTGGTGTTGGCAGTAGTGGCTACCTCAGTGTGCAAGACCTGGCACTGGTCTGCCAGAGCATTGGGATGCAAGGGCTTGATAAAGAGGTGAGAGAAAGCCTGAGTGGCCTTGACCCAACTACTGTTCTCTGAAACATTCAAGATTTGGTGTTGAGTTTGAAAAGTCTCTTTAGCCTTCGGACACTGATTCAGTGATCTCACTTTCCCATTTAAAACTCTTGGTTGACTCCAAGGCCAAACCTTTCTTAAGCTCCATCATGATAACCTCTCACCACACAAGACTCTAGCACGCCCCTGCTGCCCTCAGGCGTGCTAGACACCATGACTAATAATCACTCCTCTGCGTGGAATACTATTCTGGTTACCACTCTGATAGAAAATACCACAAATGGGATGGCTTCAACAAACAGGAGTTTATTCTCTCACAGTTCAGGAGGCTTGAAGTCCAAGTTCAAAGTCCTAGGCTCTAGGAGCTTTGTGAATGTCCCTCGAACTTGGGCTTCACTTCTGTCTCCTGCACCCGGCCCACTGAAGCTAGAGTTATCTCTTCACTCAGGCAGCTACTGGCTGCTGAGCTAACAAGCCCAAGGTTGACAAATAAAATGGTACAGTCCCGATATTACCAAACCACATGGCAGGCCATTAATTCAAGTCCATTGAAAGTCCCAAGGTTGACAGAACATGGCAGGCTGCTGAACAATGACACGACTACATGCAGGGTTCAAGCGTGCTTGCTGTAAGTTAGAGACTATTCCCAAAGCTGTTTCTTATGTATAGGAAGCAGACCACATCCCTAAAGCAGCTACTCAGCTGCTTGTGGTAGGTCCCACCATGGAGTTGATTGCCAGTCTCATGAGGAATAACTACCACCAGCTACCCAGCCACTCAACCAGGTCCAGCCAAGTTGACATACAAACTTAACCACCAGAAATACCTTTTCCTATTTGTCTGGCCTAATGTGGCCTCTTTTTGAGGCTGCCTACCCTCTCCACCAGATGGAAGCAGAGGCAGGAGTAGATGGTGATAGGTGGCAGTCCTCACTCATTAAAACTCTCTTAGTCTGTCCACTGGGTAGCCTGTGACCCACTGGAACCAGGTTGGGGTAAGTCTGTGTATGTTTCTCCTATCATCCTGCAAGTTTCCAGCACCAGGAGACACAGAGTATTTGTGGATGTCAGGAAGTTCAGGTGGCTCAGCTACTCACAGTGGGAAACAGACAGGGTATTGTGTGAATTTCCCATGAGAGAGACACACAGAGAGAGAAAGAGAGAGAGGGCAGGAGGGAGGGAGAGAGAGAGATGGGGAAAGATTGGGAAATACATAGAGATTGGGAAATAGAGAGAGTTTGGGAAATACAGCCAGGTGTGCCTAAGTAGTTTTGAATTTGGATGAAGACCAACAAGCTGCTTGAACCAAAGAGATGGAGGGGAAAGTGGCCTGGTGATGGTGGTTGGGGAGACCTGTCTGTTGGTGGAGCATCTGAGCTAAGCAAAGCATCTGTTCTGATACAATATGTTTTTTTTTGTTTTGTTTTGTTTTGTTTTTAGGAACTGGAGGACCTGTTTAATAAACTTGATCAAGATGGAGATGGCAGAGTGAGTCTTAAGGAATTCCAGCTTGGCCTCTTCAGTCATGGGCCTACTTCATTTGCAGAATCTTCCACTCCCATCCACTCAAACAGTCCCTGGTCTCATTTCCAGGTAAAATGTGACAGTTAAATCTTGATCCACAGCAATAACTATTGTCATTGTGGTGACTGCAATTGGTAACCTTCAACATCTTTCACAAGCCTGACCCCTCTTTTTGTGTTACTTGAGCAAGGTTTCCTCGAGTCAGACAGGGTTGTGTACATAGTTGTGTAACAGAGGTAATCCCAGATACTGGGATCACATAGATCTCCCTAGCTGTGTGTCACTCAGTGAGTAGCTAACCATCTCTGAGCCTCAGGCTTCTCATTTGTAAAACAGCCAGGACACTAGCTTTACATGTGTTCTGTGAGGATCACGTAAGATAAGGCAGTGTCTGGATTATTACAGCTCAATACATATTCTCAATTGTGGTCTGCTCATGTTTCTGCATCTGCCCTAGTTCTTGGCCCTAATGTATAACTCCCTATCACCTCAACTTAGAGAAAAACCTTCACAAAGAGGAGAAACCTGTCTCTGCCTCCAAGTCTTGGTCCAGAAGGCTGTACCCATAATAGAACACATGATCCCCAACACCTCATGGAAACCATGTCTACCTGCCTGGGCATCCCTTCATAGGCTCTTTTCAACAAACTTGCCTCTGGCCACAGAGGGTATGTGTCCAGAGAGGTGTCCAGGGCACAAGGAGCTTTCCCAGCTCTTTCATGGCAATGCCAGCTATGTCCACTCCTAGTAACTCAGTGTCCTCTTTAGTCTCCTTCTCAAATTAATGAGAAGAGAGCACAGTGCTGCTTCTGCCTCAGAGGAGGCCATCATCCAACAATTAAAACCAACCATTAACACACTGAGTCTGTATTTTGATCTTTTTGTTCTTATATGGCCTGAAACCTTCCCTAAGTGCTCATAAATGTCTACTCCCTCCATTCTGTTGACTTTAGATTTAGAAACTTAGGTACTTAGTGGAACCTACTGCCACAACCCTGTGAGGAAGGAAAGAATTCCTTAGAGCAGTTTGTTCAGTGATGGGAGAGGGAAGTTTTTCTCTCTGGGCAGTGAGAAAAACCAGGTGCTAAACCAGCATTCACTGAACAAAGTCATAATTATAAAACTGACTAAAATCTGCTCTCCTCAAACTACATAGAGATCTGGCACTTCTGCAAGACATAACACTTAGGAATAAAGGACAGAGAGAAAAAAGGAAAGGACAGAGAGAACAAAGACCTGAAGAACTGCCCCAAATCAATGTCCTCTGTGACACTGCTCTCCTGCTGCATCATGGCATGGAAGTGGGGGCGGCAGGGAGGGGGGGTAGTTCTTACTAGAACATCTGTATCCCACAATTGAGAATATGTATTGAGCTGTGGTAGAGATGGTCCCTTGGTGCTCCCCAGTCAGGTGGGGTCTGAGATGTCGCTGATGGCCATTGTGGAGTAGAATGCTCAAAGTGAACCATGCCTCTCATCCCAAGGGGTCTGTGACTCCTCCAGGCACTGGCTCTGAGGGGCAGGACTGTGATCCAGCATTGCCTTCCAGCCAAGGGCCTCAAACCCCATCAGCCTCATTCCTGAGCCTGCAAGTGGAGATGGCAAAGCCCACAGAGTCCTGCAACCTCAAATGCCCCTAAGTGCATGTCCTTTCTGCATGGTGACTTGACCTAGTATCTTGCTGTCTCAGCCATCTGCTCTTCCCATGACACACATACACACACATGTGTACTCATACACACAGCTATATACACTCCTTTACTGTGTGCATCACATACATTGTGTGTATGCATTTCCACTATATATACCCATGCACACCCTGTACATACATGCCTGTTCACACAATCACTATGGACACATACTACACCTACCTAAACTATAGACAGATGGCATACACACACTTATAAACCACTGCTGTGGAGTCCGATCTGACTCATACCAACCCCTCCTTGGGTTTCTGAGGTGATATCACTACGGAAGTAGCTTGCCCAACCTTCCTTCTGGTAAGCAGTCAAATGCCTTAGGCACTACACCATACCTCTTCAACTGTATACCTACTTTGTATGCACCCCTATACCCACCACAAATACTATACATATATACACACTCACCCATACTATAGATATACTGTGCATTACACTGGTACACACACTTTCACCACACATACACATGTACTATATACACACAATGGATCCATTGTATGCATACACTCACACCCACTACACATACCACTGTGTATACACATGCACAGTAAGTACCTTATATACACATACCTCAACATACTCACATACTTGCATTCATGCTATATATACACATATTATACCCCCTGGGTACACACTAAACCCACTGTATGCACACACACTACAAACACAGACATATACTGTATACACAGACACACAGAATACATAACACATTTGTGACACATAAAGCCAGACTAGGGAAAAAATAGTTTTCAACTTTAGGCTTTGGAGCCCTAAGAACCTCCTCTTCTGACATCTATCATCTGAGAACTGCCTATTTACACTGCCACTTGATAGGGAAGTGGAAACTCAGCTGAGAACAGGCCTGCTAGGATGAAGCCTGACTTGGAAGTGCAGTGCAGTGCTGGGTGAATAACATGACTAGGTGGGTTTTGGGATCATTGGAGAGGGGACCAGAGTTAGTCAGGGATGAGCCAGTAATATCAAGGGGAACATGTTTCAGCCTGTGGGAATGGCTTGTGCAGTGTAGTAAATTACATGATATGGCTTTTCTAGCTATAGCCTTCCTAAACTCCATGGTGGAATTTGTCGTGAGTAACTCAGTAGCTGATTGTTAAAGTTATCCACCTGGTGTATTTCTGGTGGAGCGGCATGAAACAGTCTTCTGGGAAGTTCGCTCTCTCTCATGAGGTTGTCTGACGTTGGGATTGGTTAGTTTTACTGCTCTGCCATGCTAAAACTGAGCCCTCCTAGAGGCAGAAGGGGTCTCTCTGATTCCAGCTGAGAGAGACATGCTGCTGAAATAGACATGCTGCTGGAGGAGATGTGCTATTGAGAGAGATGTGAGAGACGTGTACTACTGAGAGAGAGATGTGCTAATGAGAGAGACTGAGAGAGTTGACTGATGAGAGAGATGGCCGGCTGAGAGAGACTGAGCCTGTTCCTGAATTTGAATTGTAGTCTGTTGCTTCCCTAATAAACCCCATAATCTGAGCATTCTGGGTGGCCACTGCAGCGAATTATTGAACCCAGAAGAGAGGTGTTGGGTGCTGCAGGAGGAACAGTTGGTGTCAAGCTTTGTAAGAGGGCTGGAAGGTGGTGGCTTGTGTGGCCTCATAGGAGCAGGCATTGGGCTGCTGATGGTGATTCTGTCTTTCTCTTATGAAGTTAGAGGAGGTCAGCAGATGCTTCCTCCCTGCCTTTTCAGCAGCTTGCAATGTTTGAGAAATAGAAAGTGATCCCCAGATCTGGAGACCAGGAAGTAAAGGGTATAAGAGGAGACAAGCTTAGGGTGGTTGAGCCAGGCAAAAAGGGTTCTGTATCCAGAGTCCAACTAGCAAATGGTGAGGAGGAGGCCAAAAGGGTCTAATAGTCTATGAAAAGGTAGATTTTGTGGTAAGTATGGCGGGAGCCTTGAGAGCTTTGAGTAGAGGTCACATGGCCTGAAGGGAGGGAGAACATTCATCCTTATCGCCTGGGTTTTCAGGCGGCACATACTTACATTAAGGACTCTGGGACAGAAAAAATTAAGGAAAATCTTTCTTGCCTCTGTGCATATAATACCTGAGCCTAGCAGGTCAGGTTTGCACTTGAGAGAATGTTTACCTTCATCTTAAAACTCCTCTAGGCTGCTTAGCTAAGAGCTGTGTGCTTTCTGCATTCTCAGTGATACATAATTTCACAGGCACAGATACCTGGCACATCCCACTGTGCTATTAGAACCCTTCATGGGTTTCCTAACACTGACAGGCACCTTATCAGGCTCTTCCTAGGCCATGCATACTTTGTTCTTCATTCAGGGGAGACACTGTGTGGCACACATCGAACAGCTAGTTGCTAACAGACAGAGACTGTGTGAAGTCTGTGCAGTGGTGCAGCCTTCCAGGCTTGTAAGCACTGGCTGTGCAATCATAAAGCTGTTTGTGCTTCAATGAATCGTGTCACTGTGCCCAGACTTTGCATCTTGTCCAGAAAGTGGAGATAGAGATAACCTCATGAGGTTGTCTTCGTTAGGCCTCATTGAGCAGCAAGTCCCAAGTGTGGGCTTGTGCAGTGGGAGACCTGTGAGAAATAAACAGATGCACCCAAGGGTTTCAGCAGATGCTGGAGCTCATGAGTGTTTTCTTGGTCCTTGGCATGTAGGCCATGGAGGAGAGCAGCTGCCAGACCACTACATCCTCGTCCCTTGTGTCCATCTGCTTAGGCCTGCGCCTCTTTTCCAGCATCGACGATGGCACTGGATTTGCATCTCCCAAACAGGTCATCGCTGTGTGGGCCCAGGAGGGGATTCAGAATGGCAAGGACATCTTGCAGGTTTGAAAATGGATGTCTACTGCTGCCCAGAGTAGTGGGGGTACTGGAGGGTTTCTGTGTGTGGCCTGTGCTCTCTGGATCTTTTCCTCCTGCCATAGCGGCAAATCCCACAAAGGGAAGTTAATGGCAAGCATGTTTTGTTACTATAATATGGGAAATTTTAATTTTAAAAGATAATAAATAAAATACTGAGAAGGCAACAATGTGAAAAGAACAAATTTGAAAGTAGATTTTCGTGTCTTAGGACTTTCCCCCCAGGGCCATTAAAACCTTTGAGATTGTTCACTAGGATGAGTGTAGTCACTCCTATAGGTGTGTCAGCAGAAACACCCATTTTTGTGATATCAAAGAGAAGTGTGTGCATTTCCATTTAGTTATTGAGCACTACACTGTGAGCTGGAATTCCACCAAGAGCCCCCTGCCCAACAAGACCAATGGGCTGGTGGAACTGTGTCCCTGGTCCCCACCAGCCCTCTCCACTGGTTGCCAAGGTGCCTCCTCCCCATAGTCACTGAAGGTAACCCAGGAGGCTGCCCTCAGTCTGGGTTTCTTCATGGGGTCTTATTTCTCCCAAGGACCCAGGGTAATTCATTTAGGGCTTGGGAGCAGCACTGCTCTGGGGCAGCAAAGTCAGGTGTGAATAAGGTCAGACCTATGGGAGAGGGTTCATTGAGAGAAGTCTTGGAGAGTTACAGTGGCCAGGCCCTAGTGATAGGCTGCTACTTGCTCACTGAGGCTAGGAGAGGAACCATGTCATTCCCTTAAAAGATATTTATTATTTTCATTTCCAAATTTCACTTCCCATTATAAACTACTATACAGGAATACATAGAATAAAAGAGAAAGCCTCTCCCCTTCAGCCCTGCCCTGTTCCCCAGGATGCCCTGCAGAGTACTCTCTTTGTACGTAGAATAAATATATATTTATACATACTTTTGTTTTTTGCTAAAGTGCTCACGCTGTATTTCATGTTAATTTATATGCCATTTCGCTGTTGTTGGACATAATGCATACATACATTTTTCTTATAAATCCTGGTATAGATAATGCATTTATACTCTCATATGCCTATACCAGTGTTTCTGTAGGATAGATGCCTGAAATTGGTATGTATTTTAATTTTTGATGAGTTCTATAGAATTGCCTCTGAAAATGTCCCTATTAGCACAACCTCAGCATACAAAGGAGACCAGTCAGCCTTTCAGCTAGTGTGGCTGATCCTTTGGCAAAGGCCCTCTTGGGCCTAATCTCACATCTCAGAATCGCAGACAGACAGCTGTTGGGCAGTGCCTAGATCCAGAGCCAGCCCTGACATCTGTGTCAGATGTGTCCTGAAAGCCAGAGATTGAGCTAGCATCTCTGAAAACTGTACTCCATAGGGAAATTGCAAAGAGGAAAGGCTCCTTCACTTTGAAGATCCCCTGTGAAAGCCTGCTCCCAACTCCAGGGCATTTAGAGGTATAATAATCTGTTTGGTATAATAATCTGATCAGTAACAAGTCTCATCCTTATTTCTCACATTGCAGAATTTACTTTTATTATTATTATTTACTTTTCTTTTGGTGAAAACATACATACCAAGACATTCACCAACGTAACAACTTCCACATTTACAGCTCAGGGACATTGATGACATTTTTACATTTTTCATGTTGTGCCACCATTACTGCCATCCTTACCTCAAATATTCCCCCACAATTAGCATAAATTCAATGCCCTACAAACAAAAGTTTCCTCTTCCCCCCTCCCTCCTACCACTGGTAACCACTAGTAATCTTGGTATGTATATATATGTATATGAGTATATATATATATGTGTGTGTGTATGTATGTATGTGTATATATATGTGTGTGTGTGTGTATACATACATATATATATATATTTTTTTTTTTTTTTTAAACCTGTCTAGTAATTTTCCCTTGCCTCTCTTCCCATCCCTGGTAACCAACAAAGAAAGTTGTGTAGCATTTACTTTTTTATAGTTTTCTATGAGTAGAGAGTATTTTCATTTCTATGGAAATTTATAATTTAGCTGTTGCTTTCAGATTTTGATTTTGATGAGTTTTTTATTTTCGTATTATTGAAAACAAAGTAGTATTTATTGAACTCATCTTTTTTTTTCCTTTTAATAATTTTTTTAAAAGTTGTGCTTTGGGTGCAAATTTGCAATGCAGATTTGTTTTACATTCAACAGTTCATACACATTTGATTTCATGGTCCTGATTACAGTCACCAACCATAAAAGACTCTCCTCCCCTCTCCTCCTTATGACTACTCCTTCCCTGTGTCCTTCTTATCTGTGCATTCCTGTCTGTCCAGGTTTGCCTCTATGTGAATACTACCCGTCTGATGTCTCATGGTTGATTGATCTGAGGGGTACATCTCCCTAGGGTGGTGGTTGTTGTCAGGTGCTGTCAAGTGCCCTCTGACACATAGTGACCCTGTGTACAACAGAATGAAACACTATCTTGTCCTGTGCAAGCTTCACAACAATTGCTACACCTGAGCCCATCATTGCAGCCACTGTGCCAAACCATCTCATGGAAGGCCTTCCCCTTTTTTGTTGACCCTCCATTTTACCTACTATGATATCCTTCTGCAGGGAATGGTCCCTTCTGACAATGTGACCAAAGTAGGTGAGATGAAGTCAGGTCATTCTCGCTTCCATGGAGCATACTGGCTGCACTTCTTCTAGAACAGATTTGTTATTTCTTCTGGCAGTCGATGGTGCTTTCAGTATTCTTTGCCAGCACAACTCAAAAGCATCAACACTTCTTTGGTCTTCCTTATTCATTGTCTAGCTCTCACATGCATATGAGGTGATTGAAAATTCAGTGGCTTGGGTTAGGCACACCTTAGTCTTCAAAGAGATACTTTAAACAGGTCTCTGGCAACAGATTTGGTCTTTCTACTGTTGAGGTGAGAACCAACCCACGGAAGTGAGTCCATTTCTGGGACTGAAGGATAACCCAGGGCCATAGTCTTGGGGGTTCCACCAATCTATCTGACCAGTAATTCTGGTCATTTTTGTGCTTTTGAATTTTTCCTCCCACTCTAACCAGACTCTCCAATTTTGATCCCTTTTCAAATAGTTGGCATTGGTAGCCAGGCACCTTCTGCTTATGGTCTCGGAGTCATGAAGCCTGAGTTCCTTGTGGTACATCGTATTTTTGGACTAATTGTTTCCAGATGACTTGGATTTTCTTGAGTCTTTTCTCTAGGTGAAAGGAGACCAATAGTTGCATCTTAGATGGCTGCTCAAAAACTTTTAAGGCCCCAGTCTCTATTCACCGAAGTAGGATGTAGAATAAGATTTTTATGTATTATGTTATGCCAATTGAGCATTATGTTCCCCAAGAATATGGTCCCAAGCCTACAGGCCCAGTAATTCTCTCTCTCTCAAGGTGTTTGGCTTTCTCTGAGAAGCTACTCCAACCCTGTCCTCTGTTATTTCTGTAATATATGTGGATACTTTTGTAACACAAGTACATATGCAAGATTATCTTCATCCAAATCTATCTTTGGTCTTGGTGTATATTCCTGTTTGCCTACCCCCACCTAATCTTTTCACCTGTCTATGCATTTACCCATTTTTCCTAGTGTTTGGTTCCACTGATAATGCAGTATAGTGTTGTCTATATCTTTTGTGCTCATTTTTGTGTCCTCCCTTTCTGCGTTGTCACCCTGCTGGTCACAGACTCTTTTGTTCACCCTCCTCCCCTCAAGCTAATCCACATGTGACCCCAAGTAGTCTGAAACTTTCCCTCCTCTTCCCTCCCTGGTAACCAGTAAAGTGAATTTCCTTTCCTTAGTAGACGTTCCCTTGACTTTTTACAATAATGGACTTATACAGTATTTGTCCTCTGTGATTGACTTATTTCACTCAGGGTAATGTCCTCCTAATTCATCCACATTGTGTGATGATTTGTGTATTCTTCATTATTCTTTAATGTTGCATAGTATTCCATGGTGTGAATGTATCATATATTGGTTATGCATTCATCTTTTGATGGGGATGTAGGTTGTTTCCATCTCTTTATGTAGTGAATTATGCTGTGATGAGCATGGGTGTGCATATGTCTGTTTGTGTCCTGTCTCTCACCACTTTAGGGTATATTCCTTTAATGGAAATGCTGGATCAAATGGTATTTCTATTTTCAGTGTTTTAAGGAAACACCATATTGTTTTCCACAGTGGCTGTACCATTTTCAGTCCCACCAGAAGTGATTAAGAGTTCTAATCTCTCCATACCTTTGCCAGCATTTGTTATCTTCTGTCTTGTTCAACTTAGCTGTTATTGCTGGGGTGAGATGGATATTTTGATTTGCATCTCTAATAGCTAGTGATCGTGAGCATATTCCTCATGTGTTTGTTGGCTGCCTGGTATATCTTCTTTAGTGAAGTGTCTTATTCATGTCCTTTGCCAATTTTTGAATTGGATTGTCTTTTTGGTGTTGAGGTTTTGAAGTTTTCTATAAATTTTGGAGATGAGTTCTTTGTCAGATATGTTATAGCCAAGTATTTTTTCCCAATCTGTAGGTTCTCTTTTTTTTTTTTTTTGAAACTAAAAAGAATGAGGCATTTTATTTCTATCAGAATAGACTTATAATTGAGTCTTTGGAATGGAATCTGCTTGTCATTCCAGGAATACCTGTTGTCACTTCATTTGCATGGTCTATATCACTTCATTTGCATAGTATATGACCAATATCTGCAAAATACGTAGAAAGGGTGCAGCCCAGGGCCAGACAAAAAATTTCAGACCATCAAGTTGTTTACACCTTACCTAGGGATTATCAAACAACCTGGAGAGAAGTAACAAACCTGCTAATATATAAAACTAGGTTAAACATAACTTCTCAGTGCTTAGGGGAAAAAAAAAAAAAGTCTCTCAAGCTATTATCCAAAGAATCCAGGCAAAGACCGTGTTGAGAAGCTCATTTCCCACATATAGAAAATAGAAATGCCTCTTTATTAAGCCAACAAGGAGCTCTGGTAG